CCTTTTCTGCCACCACAATATTTTGAGCATCAGATTACTGTTTAACAGTTTCACAACTGTTTTTCAATAAACTGCAGCTGCCCCAAACAAACTCTCAAGTGCTCAAATTCTTTTATTATGGGTTGAAATACTCCTTATAAAAACTACTGGGTACTATTTTCGCACCTATTAAAACAGAGAAAGTACTAATTTAACACTTTTATGAAATCTGGGACTAAAATGATACCATGTAAATAGTTGGGGACTAATTTGACACTTTTCTTTATATTTTAAACACATAAGAATTGTGTGATATATATATATGCTATTATTATAACTATCGAGTAAATTACTCTTTTCGTCTAAGGACTAATTTGATACTTGTATAAATTCTGGGACTAAAATAATACCATATAAACAGACAGGGGACTAATTTGACATTTTCTCAATATGTAAATACATACGAATTGTGTGGTATACATTTTATTATTATTATTATGATTTACATACAGAGGACTATGTTGATATTTTTATAAACTTGGGACTAAAATGATACCATCTAAATAGTCAGGGGATTAATTTGACATTTTTCTTGATATGTAAATACATACGAATTGCATTGAATATATGTTGTTAGTATCATTCCTATTGAGTAATTGTTTGAGTAATTGATGCAGGTTTGGGGTGATGATGAAGTCAGCCGTGTTGTGCAACATTGGCTGCTTCAGGTGCACAACTTCAATAAGCTGAAGCATACAGAACTATTGGGTTAGTACAGTACTCCCTTTTTCTTTGTCTTAGTTGATTTTAGCTTTGGCTTAGGATTTATATGCTTGGGAGGTTCAAATGCCTTACATTGTATTATAGCCTTATAGGTAGATTGGTTACTTGTTTTATTTATGGAAGAAAAATGTTCTTAAATATTTTGAAAAATGTGAAGGGTAAATTATCAAATTGGCTATGGATTTTTTAGGCGTGTTGATGTTATCACATTTTAACTAATTTAATCTTTGGAAAATTTATATCAGTAAATTTTATAAGATGGTAGTGAGACCTGCAATGCTCTATGACGCTGAATGTTGGCCTTTAAAAGAGTAACATAAAACTAAGTTAAGTGTTGCCGAGATGAGTGATTAGGTGGATGAGTGGCTTTACACTTAGAGACAAAATGCGAAATGAATATATCCGTGATAGGGCTGGTGTAGTCCAGTGACGGACAAAATTAGAGAGAGTCGACTTAGATGGTTTGGTCACATTAAACGTCGACCATTTGATGATCCGATTAGAAAAGTAGATGTTTTAGATTCATCTTATGTTAAAGAAATGTAGAGGTGGACCTATGATGACTTGGGCATATTATATAAAAAATGATCTTAATTTATTAGAATTGAATGAAAATATGACATTAAATAGGACGAAATGTAGAAAAAAGTATTAATGTAGCCGACCCCACTTGGTGGGATAAAGGTTTTGTTGTTTTTGTTGAAATTTACATTAATAGCACACAATTCTTATTTATTTACATTTCTCACAGTTGTACTCTCATATTTGCATACATAGCACTTTAGTGCTTTGAAAAATGATGATAGAGCTACTTTTATGTGATATTACTCATTTTAGTCAACTTTAGCTTTTTTATTATGTGGGAAGTGGTGGTGGGAAGTTTTTTAAGAGGGTGTTTTTTAGTTGGAAGATTTACAAATATACCCACTCAATTTTTATGTGTTTAGATATCTAACACCTAAGGTTTAATTTTTACATAGATGCCAGCTTAGTTATGATTGAAAAGGTGCATTCTACATTTGTAATAGTTAGAAGTAGTGGTATTTTAGATGTCATATGAAATATTTGGGTGTTATAAATGTAAAAAAACAAAGTTTAGGGGTTAGATGTGTAAATACATAAGAATTGGGTGGTATGTATGTAAATGCCCATTTTGTTATTTTAAAGGGTCAAATTCATTATTTAATACAAACTTTTTTCTTTTAATAAATTTTATCCAAAGAAGCAATAAAATTGCAGGTAGGATTTAATTGGTTTAGATTTGATGAGGTGAGGGGCTAAATTCAAATTTTTAGTTAGTGACTGGGTTTCTTTGGGGCTTTTTTTTTAGAAAAAAATTTACTTTTTCTGATCACCACTATCACTGTCAGGGCGGTAAACTTGTCAGCTTAAGCGATTAGGCTTAGCTTGTGTTCGATATGTTTGAAATTGGCTCTTGTTTGAAATTACTCATGAATAGTGTGTTCTTGTTCGACTTGATTTACATATTCTTGTGCGTGTTCAGTTCACTTGTTCGACTTGATTTACATATTTTTGTTCGTGTTTGGCTTGAAATTGACTAATTTAAATTATTTAGAAAAATATATGTAGGGTATTGGAGCTAAATATTCACTATTTTATGTATTAGAAAGCGTAGGATCACATGATCCCATGTGCTATGATGATTTGAGCTCAAACATTATCGAATAAATGGTATTGGCTCGCCGAACATGAGCTATTTAATGAACTGAAGACGATTTATTAACAATTTTTTTTGACAGCTTTGATCACTATATGTCCATTTTGTTAATACATTCTAAAAATTTATGTGGTGAGAAGATTTTTACAATCAGATTTGTCAAAGTGTGGAAATTATGAAAAAAATGCTATCTAATTTTTTTTAAATAAATAAAATATTTATAATACCAATTGGTAGCTTTCAAAAAAAAGTTTCATTTTTGACAACAATTTTATAAAAAAAATTTGATTTAAATAATTGGAATTTTACATGCATAGCACAGATCTTATGTATTTATATATTTAACATTTAGAGGTAGATATTTGCACTTATTGTACCTTCTTTTTGTCATAAAGTTAAACATGCAAATTTATTTTTCACTTTTAAAAGAATTGTGCTTGTGATATTTTTGATGTTATGTTAAAGATTCGAGTGTTATGTAATGTAAATATGAAATGCATAGTTGTTCTATATCTAAATACATAATAATTGTGTGGTATATATGTAAATGCTCCTTTAAAAAGTTTGGGTTCTATTTTGAGCTCTTCGTTGAGCATAAAAGCATGAGGATGGATGATCTGGTTTATGTTATACTTTTAAGAGTTTGTTAGGGGCTGTAGTGCAGTGATGGTGCTGCACCGCACCGTAATTTTATATGTTTCGGTAAAATGTATTTTGACAGCTTTTTAAAAAACTGTCGTTGAAATTTGCATTTTCCCACCTGCCCTGACTATGTGTGGTGGCAGCTTTCTAGTTGCGGTCTAACTTTTTCAATAAAAAATAAAATTATAATAGTCACTACAGACATTATTTTTCAGCTGTTTCACAACTGTTTTTTAATAAAGTGCAACTGCCCCAGACAGACGCTAAGTATGGTCAGCATGATAGAGGGCTTTAGTTTTATTAAAGTTAATTATAAAATAGGGTTAGAGATTGATATATTTTTTCAAATAGTATTGAATGGCGAGTTGATGTTGGTGAAATAATATTACTAGAGCCCAAAAAGAAAAACATCAATTTTCTTTTGGGAAAAGATGAGCCCAAATGACAATATGTAAATTCAAACTCGTGGTCTCACCATATAAGATTACACTTTCAACCACTATGTCACAGAAAAATTGCGTTGCATATATTTCGTCGAAGAACACTTTTACACTCCCAAATTCGGACAAATTATATACTATTTAATAATATTGGAGAATTGAAGGGATAAAATTATAAGAACTATTAACTTTACTATTTAATATTATATCATTTAATAATTCATAGTTATTACATATTATCACATTTTTAATATGGGGCATTTACATATATATATCACCCATCTCCTATGTCTTTACATATCTAACACCTAAGCTTCATATTTTATGTTTATTACACTCAACATTTTCATAAAAATTAAAATAAACATTTTTCATGCAATGATAAGGTAGGTTTGTAAATCTTCCTTCCAATTTTTTTATTAAAATGTCACCTTAATTATTATATAATTTTTTTTTAATTCTCAACAATTTGATCAAAGCCCATGTAATATATGTGATTAATTTAAACTGTTAATAAGCTTTTAGTTTAGGTATGCTAATCTTCTAAGTATTTTATTTTATATAATTTTTTTTATTTATTGATTTATAAAATAATAAATTTATATGGAAATACATGGAATTTTTTAATATAAAAAAATAAATCAATTAAATGAATTACAAAACTCTAATATATTTTATTATGACGAATATATTTAGATTTTAAAATGGTATACATGTAATTATGTAAATATGAACTCATGCATAAAAATAAAGGAATATTTGCATACATACCACCCCTATATATTCATATATTCAATATTTAAAATTTTAACTTTTTTATTTATGTCACCTTATTTATGTATGAGAAGACATAAGAAGATGCATTCCACTTTTAAAATAAGAAATAACGATATTGTTATGTGATATGAAAGATGTGGATGGTAAAATGTAACAAACTAAATTTTACGAGTTAGATATGTAAATACAAGAACTTTGGGGTGCTATTTAAGTAAATGCCCTCTAAGTTTATGAACTTGGAAAATATTTAGCATGTATGACAGTTATTCAGGGGCATTAGAAGGTTATGTCGTTAATATTGGAGTTAATACGCTTAATAACCTCACAAAGCACTTGAATGATAGGAAAAAATATGAGCGTCGAATCGCATAATATATTTGATAGGTCCCAAATAACTGAGTTTTTAGAAATTTATTATAACTCTAATAACATCTCAATATATGACAGTTATTCAGGGGCATTAGAAGGTTATGTCGTTAATATTGGAGTTAATACGCTTAATAACCCCACAAAATTCTTGAATGATAGGAAAAAATATGAGCGCCGAATCTTATAATATATTTGTGCGTTATTGATAGGTCCCAAATAACTGAATTTTTAGAAGTTTATTATAACTCTAATAACATCTCAATAATCTTCTAATAAGTTTTTATATATCATCTGTTTGGGCGCTCATTTTTTTTTTATGGGTACCTAAATATTTTTCCATAAACTTGGGTGGTATTCTCCCATTCTCAAATTCTGTGCTGAGACCTCCAGCGCCAAAGTCGCCGGGATGTCGCGATTCTTCATGAGCGACCCGGATGAGCTACTGATCGACGGCGTGAATGGGGGGAGGCAGGCGGGTGTTTCAACGAGGGCGTCGATAGTAGAGACTTTCAAGGGGTACGGGATCGTGGCCGGGCTGCGGGTTGACTGGGATGATCTTCGGCGGCGGATCTTGATTCCCGGACGGCTGCGTGCGGCTATGGTGGAGGCAATGCGGAGCAAGGATCCGGTGGCCAGCGCTAGGGCTGCTGCGGAGGCCGTGAAGGGGGTTTCTTCGTCTGGGAGCGGGTGGATTGATGTGTGCCCGGAAGCACCCATCGTGGTATTTGTTAACTCGCGTAGCGGAGGGCGGCTAGGGCCCATTGTCAAAGGTCGCCTTCTTGAATTGATTGGGGAGGATCAGGTTGTGCTTTTTTTCGTAGATTGATTGATTGTTTTGTCTGTGTTTGGGGCATGTTTGATTTCATATAATGCGGATTGAAGAAGGATTTTCCTGGAACTTCTGACTTTCATTTTTCGCCCAATTATTTTGACTTGTATGATAATCTCATGCTTAACGGGACTGTAATTTGGTAGGAATGAAGCTCTATTGTGGAGCAAGGTGAAACAATTTCTTCGTAAATGTATTGAGTGGATCAAGGTTTGTGAAAGCCATGCTCTTGGGAATACATATTATGTTTTTCTTTTTTATTTCATCGAGCGGCCAGACACAGCTTGTATGAGTTGAAGTTTTGTGGTTAATTTGGAGATCTTTTGATGATTTGAGGGAAGTGTATAGGGACGAAACCAAGTTATCTCCAAGTTGGGAAATTGCGCCCCTTGAATTTTGCAATTTCTCTATAAAAACAGTAGAATTTTTATTTTTATTTTTTATAGTTTAGGCAATTTTATAATACTTCCCCCCACTCCCCCACTTCACCCCCGTATTTACTTACAAGGTGTGTGCCAATAACCTTTTAGCGTTAAACAAAAAGCTAGCATTTCTCATGTATAACCAAAGGCTAATAAAGTGGGGAGTAGTTTTAGTTCTTGAAGAATGAACAAATGAGTACAGATTTTAGTAACAACTTTCAATGACAGCCCGGATGTGAAAATTGGAGGGTTGCGTTAGGTAGTTGATAGCTAGCGTAAAATTTGTCGAAATAAAATCATGTCATGAATTCTTTTGAACATTGTGCAAGTGCTAGGTTGTCCCCTGGATGCAGCGTGCTTTATGACCTGAATATAGTAAAAAGTGTGCAAGGATCGCTACACCGACGCTCGGGTGTAGTGTTAAATAAGCACGGGTTCCTACATTATGAACGGATGCGAGTAAAGAAGTTAGTCCATGAAACTAATGAAACTAATATTAGGATAAGATATTGGAATATATGTACTGTCAATTGTAAATTAATGGAATTAGTTGATGTTATGATGCATTGAAACATTAATATCTTATGTATTCAATAAACTAAATGGGTTGGTGAAAAGACTAAGTAGATTGATAATTTAGGTTTTAAACTTTGGTATTCTTGTAAGAGTCGCACTAAAAATGGTGTAGATGTAATTATATATAAGAGTTTGAAAGATATGTTGTAAAAATTAATATAGTTGGAAATAGAATCATAACCCTTAAAACTATTATTGATAATAAGATTTTTTAATATTATAAGTGTCTATGCTCCTCAAATAGATCTAGATATAGGGTCTAACGATAAATTCTTGAATGGCATAGAAGATTTAATACAAATTATACCTCTTGAAAAAAGAATTTTTATTAGAGGTGATTTAAATGAACATGTCGGGAGAGTGGTAAAAGATTTCAGAAATATTCTTGGTGGCCACGATTTTGGAGTGACTAATGAAGAAGGTATAGTCATTTTAGATTTTGATTTAGCGTCTGATTTTGTTATTACTAATACTTTATTCAAGAAAAGAGATGAGCATTTTATTACTTATAAGAATGAATCTAATAAAATATAAATTGATTATTTTCTTATGAGAAGAAGAGTTTGTCAAAATTGTAAAGATTGTAAGGTCATTCCAAGTGAGCATTTAAGTACCCAACATCGATTATTAGTTCTAAATTTTAAGATGAAAAGTTGTAAAATAAAAAATACTATGACTCTTCATCGTACAATTAGATGGGAGAACATAAAAAACACAAATAAAATTATTTTTATGAGTAAAATTCAAGATTTCAAAATTTTGGATGTTCATGAAGGAGCAAATGTTGTGTGGGATAAAATAACAAACACTATTAAACAAGTAACAAAATAAATACTTGGAGAATCAAAAGAAAAAGTTTCTATAAATAAAAATAGTTGGTGGTGGAATAATAATGTGCAAGAAAAGTTAAAATATAAAAAGATATGTTATAAAAAACAATTTAAATGTAAAAGTGAAAAAAAAATGTCAAACGACCACAATTTGTGACGCTGAAAATTCTGCTTTTAATGATATTTATAGCATATTAGATACTAAGGAGGGTGAAAAAATATGTATAAACTAGCCAAACAAAGGGAAAAAAAAAGTAAAAATTTAACTAAAGTAAAGTATATTAAATATGAAAATCAAAAAGTGTTTTTCTTAGAAAAGATGTTCAAAATAAGTGGGTGAGTTATTTTGATAATTTTTTTAATTGAGTTTCTGAAAATATGATCTACCTTAGTGATCTTAATATCGTTAATAATAATAAAGCATTTCATTTTTGCTGTCGCATTAGTAAAAAAGAAGTTGAGGAGGCTTTAAAGAAAACCAAGCGCGGAAAGGCTGTAGGACTTGATGATATCCCAATTGAAGTGTGGAAATTTTTAGGAGATTTAGGAGTTTCTTGGCTTACTAAACTCTTTAATGTTATTTTAAAAACTAAAAAGATGCTAGAGGAATGGAGGAAGGTATTTTGGTCCCCATTTTTTAAGAATTAGCGTAAAATTTGTCGAAATAAAATCATGTCATGAATTCTTTTGAACATTGTGCAAGTGCTAGGTTGTCCCCTGGATGCAGCGTGCTTTATGACCTGAATATAGTAAAAAGTGTGCAAGGATCGCTACACCGACGCTCGGGTGTAGTGTTAAATAAGCACGGGTTCCTACATTATGAACGGATGCGAGTAAAGAAGTTAGTCCATGAAACTAATGAAACTAATATTAGGATAAGATATTGGAATATATGTACTGTCAATTGTAAATTAATGGAATTAGTTGATGTTATGATGCATTGAAACATTAATATCTTATGTATTCAATAAACTAAATGGGTTGGTGAAAAGACTAAGTAGATTGATAATTTAGGTTTTAAACTTTGGTATTCTTGTAAGAGTCGCACTAAAAATGGTGTAGATGTAATTATATATAAGAGTTTGAAAGATATGTTGTAAAAATTAATATAGTTGGAAATAGAATCATAACCCTTAAAACTATTATTGATAATAAGATTTTTTAATATTATAAGTGTCTATGCTCCTCAAATAGATCTAGATATAGGGTCTAACGATAAATTCTTGAATGGCATAGAAGATTTAATACAAATTATACCTCTTGAAAAAAGAATTTTTATTAGAGGTGATTTAAATGAACATGTCGGGAGAGTGGTAAAAGATTTCAGAAATATTCTTGGTGGCCACGATTTTGGAGTGACTAATGAAGAAGGTATAGTCATTTTAGATTTTGATTTAGCGTCTGATTTTGTTATTACTAATACTTTATTCAAGAAAAGAGATGAGCATTTTATTACTTATAAGAATGAATCTAATAAAATATAAATTGATTATTTTCTTATGAGAAGAAGAGTTTGTCAAAATTGTAAAGATTGTAAGGTCATTCCAAGTGAGCATTTAAGTACCCAACATCGATTATTAGTTCTAAATTTTAAGATGAAAAGTTGTAAAATAAAAAATACTATGACTCTTCATCGTACAATTAGATGGGAGAACTTAAAAGACAAATAAAATTATTACACAAATAAAATTATTTTTATGAGTAAAATTCAAGATTTCAAAATTTTGGATGTTCATGAAGAAGCAAATGTTGTGTGGGATAAAATAACAAACACTATTAAACAAGTAACAAAATAAATACTTGGAGAATCAAAAGAAAAAGTTTCTATAAATAAAAATAGTTGGTGGTGGAATAATAATGTGCAAGAAAAGTTAAAATATAAAAAGATATGTTATAAAAAACAATTTAAATGTAAAAGTGAAAAAAAAATGTCAAACGACCACAATTTGTGACGCTGAAAATTCTGCTTTTAATGATATTTATAGCATATTAGATACTAAGGAGGGTGAAAAAATATGTATAAACTAGCCAAACAAAGGGAAAAAAAAGTAAAAATTTAACTAAAGTAAAGTATATTAAATATGAAAATCAAAAAGTGTTTTTCTTAGAAAAGATGTTCAAAATAAGTGGGTGAGTTATTTTGATAATTTTTTTAATAGAGTTTCTGAAAATATGATCTACCTTAGTGATCTTAATATCGTTAATAATAATAAAGCATTTCATTTTTGCTGTCGCATTAGTAAAAAAGAAGTTGAGGAGGCTTTAAAGAAAACCAAGCGCGGAAAGGCTGTAGGACTTATTGAAGTGTGGAAATTAGTGTGGAAATTTTTAGGAGATTTAGGAGTTTCTTGGCTTACTAAACTCTTTAATGTTATTTTAAAAACTAAAAAGATGCTAGAGGAATGGAGGAAGGTATTTTGGTCCCCATTTTTTAAGAATAAGGGGATGCACAAGAGCGTGCAAATTATAGAGGAATTAAGTTGATGTGTGATACTTCAAAATTATGGGAGATGGTAATTGAACATAGGTTAAGACATATTACAAAGATTTCTCATAATCAATTTAGATTTATGCCGAGCAAGTCTACTATGGAAGCCATACATTGATCGGGAGGTTTAATGGAGAAGTTCAGAGATAATAAGGAGGATCTAGATTTGCTTTTTATTGATTTAGAAAAAACTTACGATAAGGTGCCAAGAGATATCCTTTGGAGAGTTCTTGAGAAGAAAGGTGTTGATATGACTTATATTCAAGTCATTAAAGATATGTATACTAGAGCCGTTACTTGTGTTCCAACTGAAAGAGGATTGACCAATTATTTTCTTATTTATGTTGGATTACATCAGGGATCGACTTTAAGCCCATATCTTTTTCCTTTAGTTATTTATGGTCTTACTGGACATTTACAAGAGGATGTATCTTGGTGTGTGCTTTTTGCTGATGATATCCTTCTCGTGGATAAGATTAGAGAAAAAATTCAGGAAAAACTTGAATTATGGAGGCCTACATTGGAATCTAAAGGCCTTTATTTGAGTAGAACTAAAACTGAATACATGGAATGAAATTTTAGTAATAGTAGCTCTAGTGACAGAAGTGTAACTTTGGGTGATCAAATTATTAAAAGATTGAACGATTTAGATATCTTGAGTCTGTTGTTCAAAGCGGGGTGATCAAATTATTAAAAGATGTGAACGATTTAGATATCTCGGGTCTGTTGTTCAAAGCGATGGTGATATAGATGGGGATGTTAATAGTAGAATTCAAATTGGTTGGTTGAAGTGGAGGGATGCTTAAGGCCTTTTGTGTGATAGAAAAGTATCACTTATACTGAAAGGAAACTTTTATAAGATGGTTGTGAGACCTTTAATGCTCTATAACACTAAATGTTTTCCTTTAAAAGAGAAGCGTAATACTAAGTTAAGTATTGTCGAGATGAGAATGATTAGATGGATGAGTGGTTTTACACTTAGAAACAAAATGGGAAATGAATATCTTTGTGATAGGGTTGGTGTAGCTCCAGTGACGGACAAAATTAGAGAGTCGTCTTATACGGTTTGGTCACATTGAACTTCGACCATCTGATAATCCAATTAGGAGAATAGATGTTTTAGATTCGACTTTTATTAAGAAAGGCAGAGGTAGACCTAGGAAGATTTGGACTTATTATATAAAAAATGATCTTAATTTATTAGAACTAAATGAAAATATGACACTGAATAGAAAGCAATAGAGAAAAAGGATTCATGTAGCCGACCCCACGTAGTGAGATTAAGACTTTTTTGTTGTTGTTGTTGTTATTGTTTCAGTGAAAGCCTAGAGAACTCGTGCACATACAAAAAGTGGAGAGAAGCATGTACAAACTCTTGAACTTCCAACATTCTGAGCTAGCGTTGCTACATTGTTGAAATATTTTGACGTATGAGCAAAGTTCTAGCAGCTATATTTACATGAGAAACATTGTTTTATGGAGCATTGGAGGTTTTGACACAATATAGTTGATGGCATCTAATAATGTGACTATTTTGTTGTTGGAGTTAAGTATGCTCTAGAATTGAGAAAGAATTTAATATTCTTTAGTGCTGTCAATATTGTAGGATATAGTTTTCCTTAGTGATACTAGTGGCTTTCATATTGATAAAGATTCTTTGGTCGTTCTAAAGGTAAAATGTGTTGGACTCTCTGCTATAGAGTGGAATATCAAGTTTTGATGTTTTAGATTTAATTGTTTTAGTGAAACTTCACAATTTGGAGAATCAAAGATAAGTTAGCTTCCAAGTTGGAGAAAATATTCTATAATAAATAGATGCATGAGATAAGAGTGTACTCTTGGTGATGAAATATTAGCCTTATATTTTACAATTTACTTTAGTGTCTTATCATACTCTTTTGAGTTATGAAGCATGAACAAGGACACGAGGACACAGACACGACGCGAAATGAGACGGGAATATGACATAATTAAAAAAATTTAGGACACGACAAGTCATAGGCACGTTTTAATTTTAATTAATTATTAGTATAAAAATATTTTTTTTATTATTCTTTATTACAAAATAACATGACACAAATTATGCAAGAATAAATTTTAACTTCATAGATTTAATTTATATTATAAAATTTCATGCTTGTGGAAATTAATTTTTAAATCAGATAAAATGTGTTACAAAAAGTTCATCCAACTGATCTACTAAAATTTAAAAAATTCTATGATTACAAAGAGTGAATTATTATTGCTCGGTTTCGACGAATATTGGACGCATCTTCAATGCTCGATTTTGACAAATGTTAGAAGAAACTTTATTATGACGAGAGATGGGGTTGTGACTATGAGGTATAATTAAGTTTGTACGTATATTTATAATTTTCTAGTTCATGTGTTTCATTTTCTCGAAATAGTGTTAAACTCACGTCTGATGAAGTGTTGAGGTGTGTCACAGACGTGTTCGTGCCTGAAAAAAATTCAGACATATATTTTGTGGTGTCGAAGAAATGTTGGGGTGTCTGGGCAAGTGTTGGTGCCCGATACATGTCCGACACGGGTACGACACATTTTTAGAAGTGTCAGTGCTACATAGCTTTTGAGATTTAGAGTTTAGAGTGCTTAACTTGGAGAGACGTCATAAAAGAGATCCGTGTTTTTTCATAATATTGAATCAAGAGAGATATTGCTGGTTCTTAATTCAAAATTATGCATGAATCATATCATTGAGGTATGTTTCGAAGTAAAAGCTTGAAAATGAGTTCGGCGATTTGTATGTATTTATTCTCTCGATGTTCATGCATGAATCACATGATAAGAAATGCATCAAACTTCTTGTGTGAAAACTTGGAAATGAGTTTTGCTGATTTTGTACAACTTAGACAACTTTGCATTAGGTTAGTGGTTATGTAAGTTGATATATAGAAGCTTATTTTGCATTAATTACAAACCAAGCTTGAGTGTTTTGTGGAGTTGAGAAGAATTGAAAGGAGAGATAAGAGGGTAAAAGAGGAGAAAGAGAGAGAAGGAAAGCACAAGAAATTCATTCTAGAAATTCAAAGTATTATCTCAACTATTTGATAACGCCTGTTTGAGGAACTATTTGGAGTGCTAATTTTCTACTTTTGTTTAATATTTTTTTTCATTCTTAACTTCATAAAATTTTTCTCTTATCTCGCGAGACTTGGACCTTTTTTTCCTTCTTTTTTTTTTTTAAGCGAGCATGCGCTAGGCTTTAAGTGGGTTGGTGATCGTCTTTTGATTGCACAGTAAGCAAGATCATGGTTTATTTAAACACACAAACTTTTGTATTTTTTTTTTTTTTTGCAGTATTTGATGTCTTTTATACCTAACTTGTGGTTTATCATATACCTAATTCTAAGTTGACGCTTTCCTAGTACAAAGTTGGGCATGCTCTTTTTCTGACATTATATAAGGCTTATATTCGTTTATTTCCAAGAAAGAAAATAAAAAAATCATGCATGAAAACACACAATTGCTAGAATTTTTATTGTTTTACAACATCTGAACCATCATCGTTTGTATATTGTCCATATGCATACTTACAAAATTTCTCTTGTGATTTGAGGAAACTAGGGAATATTTAAATGATTTTGCTCTACTCAAAATGAAGTTTGGCTCCTTGATGCAGGTTTTTGACCTTGCAGAGATGAAGCCTTCTGATTTTGTTCAATATGGTTTAGCCTGCTTGGAGAAATTGGCTGAGCTTGATTACTGTTGTGCGAGGTCCACTCGAGAAAATATGAGAGTTATGGTATGTTGCTAATTTTGATTGGTGGTTATTTTTTGTTTATGCTTTGCCTGTTGAAATGCTTTTTCCTCTTTTAATTAATTATATTTCAGATATTTATATTTTTAATGTCCGCAAGGCAATGTGTGGTTTCATTATTTCAAGATTTTTAGATTTACTTTGATATGAGTGCAATGCAATTTTTTTATATAATACTAACCAAAATTGTATCTAAGATCCCTTCACATTTTTTTTATAGCATTGTGCTTTCTTATGTTCCAATGTTCCACCATTTTTCTTGTTAAATCAAAAGTAAATAAATAATTATCATACATTTAAATTTGATATGATGGCCATCTTAAATTACGGGCACAGCTTAAAAAATATGACAGATTAAACCTTCATTTGTTATTGGCAGAATCATCATCAGGTAAATAGTTAATGCTTGTATTCTCGGGGTCTGGCTTATTATCCGGGCCTTTATTTCTTTTTTGGTATAATATCTTTCTTTTTAACTGCGATGACAGCTCAAATTTTTTTGATGGGGCATTTACATACATACCACCCAATTCCAATGTATTTACATATCTAACACCTATGCTTTGCTTTTTTACGTTTATACTGCCCTAATCTTTCATGTCATGTCAAAAAAAGAACTATTATAACTTTTACAAAGTGAAATACTCTTTTTCATACATAGGTAAGATGGTATATTTTTAAAAATTCAAGTTTAGGTGTTAGATTTGTAAATACATAAAAATTGAGTGGTAAGTTAATCTTCCTTTTTTTTTCTATCCAGGTTGCTGGTGGCGATGGTACAGTAGGATGGGTACTGGGAAGCCTTGGTGAGTTGTATGCTCAGTGTAGAGAACCAATCCCCCCGATTGGAATCATTCCACTTGGTACTGGCAATGATCTTTCCAGATGCTTTGGTTGGGTATAGAATTGTCGTTTTTATTTATGCCCTGTTAAATCACCGATATAAATTGTTGTTTCAAATATTTAGCAACTTTTGTAGGGTGGATCATTTCCTTTTGCATGGAAGTCTTCAGTGAAACGCTGTCTCTTTAGGGCTGCCACAGGCTCAATATCTCATCTCGATAGGTAACATTTTCTTTAAAGTGAAATCTACATCTTTCATATAATGATTATAGAAGAGTAAAGCGCAAAAAATAGTCCCCTTACTATTTTCATGAGGTCATTTTAGACTAGAGTCTATAAAAGTGTCAATTTAATTCCTAGACATTGTAAATTTAGGCGGAAATAGTCCACAACTATTTCAGCCCCAATTTAAGTAGTCAAGGGACTAATTTGACACTTTTATAAACTCTAGGACTAAAATAACCTGATATAAACAACCAGGGTGCTATTTTGGCAATGAAATAATTGTTATTTTTTTACTTTTCATTACTGTATATTGATTGCACACAATAAGGTAATCGGAAAAATAAGCTCATGCCTCTATTCTTTTTGAATCGCATTTTCTCTTTCATCTCCAAGCCCTATTACGCTTTCAGTGGGTTTTGTAGATATTATTTACATAAAACATCACTCATTAGCTGATCCTATCATCTGCCATTTGCAATCAACAATTGAGAATGTTCATTTGTTCATGTTGGTCTATTTTTTTGAGGAGTTTGAATCATTATTGTCTCTTGGCGGGTCAGAGAATGCTGCAGGAGCCATTACTTGTGAACTCGGTCATCTAAAAACAAACTATTGTAACTAAGGATGATGCTAGATGATGTATATTTGCAGAGAATCTGGAAATTGTTTAATTGTCTGATTAACTTCTGAACTTTTGATGCTAGCCATGCTTTTAAAGTAGAACTCTCAAAATTATTTTTAAATAATAAAATCTGCACTGGATGTTATTGATGGTTAAATCTTGGTCTCATATGCAGAATATTCAACCCAAAAGATTATGTTAAAATTGGCTTTCTGATCATGATCAACAATGGTTTTGTACACTAATAACAATATCAAAAGCGCAAAATCAGTGGCTTTAGATTCCATGATTTTTTCTACTTTGATTGAACTGCATACCAAAATAAACTCTCGTTGCTTTATGCAAATTTCAAACATTTTGAAGATCTTAGTGTGAAATTAAACCAATTGACGCTCCAGAAATTGTAATTTCATTGCAGTTGGCACGTTGTTGTCTCTTTGCTGGATGGAGAAGTAACTGATATTCCACATTCTCTCAGGCACACGGGGGAACACATTTTTACTCAGGTTTTCTGTATTTCTGCTTGTGTTTGGTTAACATTTCCATTTGGTTTCCATATTTATTACGTCCATTTTCTTGGATACTATATTAAGTGTACTCTCTCTCTCTCTCTCTGTGCGTGCGTCTAGATATATATATATATATATATATGTGTATGTATGTATGTATGTATGTATGTATGCGCAGGCGCGTGTGTGTCGTGTTCCCCGACTTATTGGTTGACATCTACAAAGTCAGTTGTAGGACCCCTACCTCTGGCAACGATGCCTTATGGAGATTGATACTCGAGTGGTTAGGCACATTAGGGGTGGCTGGGGGCTTGTCTAATAGAATTTGGCCATTCCTTTTACTATATAATATATATATATATATATATATATATATTTATGAGAAAGCCCATAGGCTAAAATATTAAAAAGAAATAAGGATACATGTAGATTGTGTGGAAGAGCTCAAGCATGACACCCTTCCCCCACAATAACCATCACATATAAATGGTTCCAAAAAAAGAGAAAATACAGAAAATTACAAGAGACCGAAACACATAGTTTCAGGTAGCTAGAAAGCGACCCGATTTTGTCCTGCCTCTGCCTCTAGTTCTAGAAATGAAGTCAACTAATGGATTGGTAAGATGAGTGTCATTGTCAGTAGTAACCAATGTATTGTCCAATAAGTTCCTGAGCTCGAGTCGGCCTCCATTCTTCATCTTCCTCCTGAAGTAGACCGGTCATTTCTCATCCGAAGACCGACTCGCCTTATCAGTGGATTGGTCTAAAGTATGTCAGACATGTGTAGGATGTTGAACATTAGAAATAATTGCTTGTTGTACCAGCTGATCTTTGATTGAATCAAAGGAGCACTCTCGTGTGTCTTGACATGTAAGTGAGCATTTTCAATAACAGTGAGTGATGTAAGCACTTTTGGATCTCTACTTGTAGTATGGTGTTCTTCATCAGGAACTGCGATGTTGGGTAGAGGATCGATTTGCACATTTTCAGCAGGGATGGTAGGTGGCTGACATTTAGCTATGTTGTTCAAAACTTGTCCTGTGGTAGCTTTCTCTCCAGATGGAACAGATATGTCCAAAGTAGTGGGATTAGATCCATCCTTATTCACTTGATCTTTAAATTTCAAATTAGGATAAAACTTATGACATTTATCAACTGTATGCCCAAATATCTTACAATTAGAACAATATAGCGGTCTATGCTTTATGACGATTTGTTGTCAATATCCATTATGAGTTGTGCCCAACCAGACTTCAGTAACATCAGGTAAAGTAATATCTCTTTCCACAAGTATTTTGGCCACAGAAGGTCTGGTTATGTTGAAAGTCGGTAGATCTAGTTTCATAGGGTCCCCAAGTATTGCCCCAATAGAGTAAAAAACCTGATGATGAAAAAAGTACAGCTTGAGTCCTGGTAGACTGAACCATACCGGTACACCATACTGGTACAGTAGGAGATTCATGATTGTGGTCAAAATCAGGTGACCACTTGAGTAGCTTTATTGATTTACCAGCAATGCTAAAATATTTTTTTGGAGAAAATCCGAGTGTAGTTTCAACCACGGTTAAATCAATACATGTCCCTCATCCATGAGTCCCACTTTCCATTTTCCTGCTAATTTCATATCATCAAAACTTTTTCTGATAACTTCCATAGGTGGGTGCCCCCACTGAAATTTTTCAATGAGAGCAAACTTGAATTTGTCAGTCAGGGTTGATATTTCTAACTCCGAGAAAAAGAGTGATGTTTTCCCACTTTTTCTGCTTGCATTCTTAATAAATGGGCAGTCACCTATACTATCACGATATTCCTTATAACTTGAGGGGAAGAAAACCGCCGTCTCCACCCGAGAATTACCCACCACGTGGGCAAATGAGGCTTTGTTATGTTCAACGGCTTTGTTATGTTCACCTGAAGAAGAAGGAAGCTCCATCACAACAATTAGAATCGGTCATAAGGCAGGAATGACGAGCCGAAAACGGTATGGGCGAAGCCGCAGAATGCCGCGCAGAAGACAGGAACAGAAGAAGACGTGTGAAACGTGTGAACTTGTCCGCTTCGAAATCGAACAGAAATGATGCAACATATGCGAACTCTGTCGGCTTCAAATGTCACAGATGCGAGCCGCAGTCGACGTCAAAACAGCGCGAGCCGACGACGATGCCGGAGAAGAAATGTGAGGAAAGGAAATGATCTTATGCAATTAGAGTTGCTAGGGTTCGACATGGGTCGAAACCCTAGCAGAGCCGAGCGTGGGAGACGACATCATCGTGTGTGTGTGTGTGAGTGTGTGCGTCATCGTGTGTGTGTGTGTGTGTGTGTGTGTGCGCGCGCGTGTGTATTTGTGACAGAAAATTGGTAACGTCCTTTTGCAATTCTTATCACATTATCTTTTTCTCTTCTCTTGACACGCACACATTTGTTTTTGAAATACTCCTGCTGTACAAAGATTTAATAGCCTGAACAATAAATTGTCACTCCAAACTGAGTTTCTCGCTAAAGAGCCCTTGGAATAGATTTGCTCGTCAGAGTGACAAGAACAGGAGCTGAATAGAGTTTTTCTTTTATTGTTTCAAAGCCATGTTGCTGCTCGCTTTCCCTATCGAAGGTCTTTTATTTTAAGCAGTCTGTAATTGACGCCTAGAGTGAATTGAAACCACTAATAAAAGGGCAGTGGAAGTTAGCTTAACCAGGAAAACTTTGCATGCCAGTCAGCATGGTTGGAGTTGGCTATAATTAAATAGCTTCCATATTCATTGGACTGGTATCAGTTCTTTGAGTTGTGGTAAAGAATCTCAGAGATTGGATCTTATCAGCAGCAAATTCACATTTGTTGATATTGAGAAATAGTTTAGTGGAGAATATAGATTTCAGGTGATGCACATAACATGACAACAAGTTGCAGAAAATGAAAATGTTGTTGAATTTTGAAATGCAAAATTTATTTAAAATATTTTTTTGACTTCATTCATCATTCATATGTCTGTGCTCGGAGACGCCCGAAAAGGCATAGTGCGTCGCTTATGAAGAGCTTCATGAGTCTTAAGAGCAAGTCTTTTACCCGTCACTTGCTATGATGAGTATTTGATGATATTACTTAGGGGTGTCAAATCGGGTTCATTGGTTGGGTTTGGTTCTGACCCGAATATTAAACATGTCAAAAGTCTAACCTGAACAAAACCCGTCTTTAACCTGTAGATCTGAACCCGACATGTATAACCCATTTAACATAGGGAATAACAACTCTTCAAGTCCAAATCAGGTCAAATTTGAGTAAATATCGAGTTGGCTTGTCAATTTTCAAGTCAATTTAATATTGTTGGGTCAATTTCGGATCATTTTTGTGTTGGCGGGTCAACCCAAACCAGATCCAAAAATTAGATAGGTTTAAGATTGTCAACCTAAAATTGAATTTTTTGAGTTGATTTGGCATTTTGGGTTAATTTTTAGCACCCCTATTATCACTGTATAAGTTTAACTTGGAGAAAATTGTGGCACTATCTAGTTTATCAAGCATATCTTTTTGTCAAGGTATTACAAATCAATATTTTAACTGTAGTTGGAATAGATATCTTGCTTAATATTTATTCAGGCATGCATTGTAGTGATGTCCTAAAGCAAAAAAATATTTAAGATTTGGACCTGTTGTGCACAATATCTCGCACTAGTCCTTACTTGGGATGTGCCTAGACATCAGACATATATGTAGAGGTGATTCCTTGTTGGGATTAAAGAGGGCTCCCTTTATTGGGTGATGCAGTCTAGTTGTTGGTCTCATTGTGTACTTCTTGAAAATTTCATCGAAATGTAATCAATTGGTAGGTCCTATGGAGTGCAGCCTAGCCTTATGTGCAAGTTAATGACCGAAGAGAGACCACACAATGTTCATTTCTAATTTTTTAGGAGCAGCATCTTCAAATCCTTTGACATAACGAGCTTTTGATTGTTGGTTATTTTCATTGAGGTAATTGCAAGCGCTGCGTCAATATAAATCTTCCATATAAGCATTTGACAGAACAATGCCTTTAAGTGCATTTCTGATAATGAAGTTGGTTGTTCTCAATCAAATGGTAAGAAGTGGCCTCACAAAAGTTGTTTCTTTTGGTTCCAGCTGTAAACATTTTTCATCCCTTGTGCTGGTGAGACTGCATTAATTGGATCCTAATTGCTTGGACCACTCCTTTGAGTTTACACACCGCACATTTAACTTGGTTGTTGGGTGTTATCTCTATATGTACAAACGTTGCTTCATTAGATTGCTCCCCACCTAGGAAATCTTCAACATTAATGGTTAAGTCAATTTTTTACATTATAATCATTTTGTCCGCATTCTTGGTACTTTTTTGAAGTTGCAAATTACCTTGCAAAGCATTGTGTATATCAGATTCTGAATCTGAGCATGCAGTCCTCCAATGAGGAAATCGGTCCTCTTCGGAGCAGTGATATTTTAGAAACATTATTTGATTGAGTCATTAGGTTCAATGTTGAACCTGCTTTACTGTGTTGCACCTATTGCTGGTATAGTTCCACGGGCGTGGTGCTGGTTAAAGATTGCTGTGTATTCTGACATTTTGATATCCATTCCTTCTCAGCGATAAACCTTTGAAAGCCAGTGATTAGCGATTCTAACTTTTGTGTGAGAGATGATTTAGATATTTCCCAAACCAGAGGAAGAAGGAAAACTGAATTTTGTTTTGGAAATGCAAAAGAGTATTATTTTCTGACATTGTAAAGCTGAAGTAATAACATATGGTCCACCACACAAACCATCACTCGTTAATGTTGCCTTCAATTGGGTTCTTCATTTCAAAACCAAAATACTTCGGAAGTTGAACTTAGACAAATGGCTCTGTACTCATCCAGATTCCTTAAAATCGAATGTTGATGGTTTTTGTCAAACATTTTTCTGGTGATGGTGGTTATGGTGACTTGGTTTGTGATTTTAGGTGGATTCATTGCTTGCTTTAGGACTTGCATCTATTCATTTATCTTAGGGCCCTCATGATCTTTGTGGAATTTGACTCCTTTCTATTTATGAACATGATCAATAATGAAGGTCCCTTTCCTGAGCCTTCATCATAGCCTTAGATAGCTAAGCAATCTTCATCCATCTATCAACTGCACGAACATACTTGCCATGACCAAACTTCTCAAAATTCACCTTTTTTTTTAGTTTTGAAACAAAGTCTCTAAATTTCTGTCTTAAATTTCCTTTTGCATTTAGCTCCTTAATGGCAATAATGATATTCTCCAGGAATGGGTTGATGAGGGAGCGTGGCCTGCTAAAATTATTTGCCTTGAAGGAGTCTTCTTTAATTACTTCAGCATAGGTATGTCTTTGAGTTTATGATGGATGTCCACACACAAATGTTCTAGCATTTTATTAAGTTTCAACGTCCGCTAAATTACATGATATATTATATATGCATATGGGGGAGGAAAAAAAATATATGTATGTAGATGAAGAATTGTTAATCTTTTAAGATAATTTAACTAAAAAGGTAAATTATAACTTGAAAAGTTAAATCAAACCTAATGTGGGTTAAATAGCATGTTACATTAAAAAATTGAAATAGAAATTCCCGGAGTCCAGAAATAGATTTACAAAAGAAGAACAAATATGCTTTTTCAAGTAATAGAAAAAAAGAAAAAAAACAAAAAGATGTTAAAGGTACAAAATAATCGTTACAATGAAGATAAAACTTTATGTATGTATATGTATATGTATATGTACATGTGCATAATACATGTTTATGTATACATCTATTTGTATGTATTTTTATGTGTGTGTGCGTGTGTGTTTATGTTATTCCATACTTTTTGGGCATCATTATCCCAAGTGCTTCAATCTAGATGGCATTTTTAAAATTTTTACATTTGCTGAAACAACGTTGAAAATGAGCATGGAATATGGTGCTCTGCACTTTTATAGAAAGGAAGAATGAGCAATTTAGTTTCATGTCTTACTTTCATGTCTTTGTGATAGAAGTGTCTAAATGTAGGAATGGATGCTCAAATTGCCTATGGTTTTCATCATTTTCGAGAAGAAAAACCACACCTTGCACAAGGTCCCATTTCTAATAAGGTATGGAATCATACCTCAATTCTTAATAACGCTCTTTCCTCTGTCAAATATTTGTCTGCAAGGACATGGATTTGAGGAAGTAGTGGTAGTTAATTGGAAGTGTAAAATATTTACCAATATTTAGCAGTTCCATTTTTCCTTTGGCTTTTTAACAACGTTCATAGCAATAGTTTTATCTTTATTGTAATTATTATTTTGTATCTTTAACATCTTTTGGTTTTTTTTTTTTTGCTATTACTTAAAAAAGCATATTTGTTCAGCTTAATAAACTATTTTCTCTCTTCATTTCATTAGCTAGTCTCCTTTTGTTAATCTATTTCTGAACTCCGGGAATTTCTATTCCAATCTCTTAATGTAACATGCTATTTAGCCCACATTAGGTTTGATTCAACTTTTCAAGTTCTAATTTACCTTTTTAATTAATTTATCTTAATAGATTAACAATTCTTCATCTAACGGAGTTCTACTTCTTGTATTGAACCAACAATTAGTCAATCACTTTAAAATCTTTGCAAAAGAATTGTTCTTTTCTTCTAACCATTCTCATCTTGTAATTTTATGTGATTTGAGAATTGATGTTCATGGATTTTTTCTGGCTTTGAACTTGATGACTGTATTTCATTGAATACTCCAATCACAATGCCATTTAATTATAAGATGAATTTTCAAATGTTTAATATCAATTTTTTTGTGGCTACGGCATCTTACTGTTCAGTGAATAATGTAGCTAACCATTTTCTCTTCGCAGTTGATCTACACCGGATACAGCTGTGCTCAAGGATGGTTTCTTGCACCTTGTATGGGTGACCCAACCTTAAGGTAAGTTGCATGTGCAAAGAAAATTCTTTTTTTTTTCTTAAACACTTTAGCTGTTTTGATTTTCTGTGTGCATACTTCATGGAATAGTTTATTCAGACCGAAAAAAATAAGTTATGAAAAAACACTAATGCATTTCATATTTTGGACATATTTTTGTACTATCAAGGTATATGTACTCAAGCATGATTCTTAGAGATGCTTTTGGGAAACTGATTATTGAGAAGTTCTTTTTCCATCACCGACGACTTGTCTTAGGTTGGATGGTTTGAGAAGCTTCAACAAGCTTTATTAATATAAGAGAGTTTGTTATTGTTGAATTTAGGAGGAACTTTCTTGGAGGAAAAATTCTAATTTTCTCATTGAACTAATACAAGCAACTAACAAATATATACACTTTAGACTAACTCTCATATAATTGGAGAAAATTCAAATCATCATGATAAGAAAGAAAGAAATAAAAATGCAGTAATCAATAATTAAGAAAGAATAATTTCTCCCTCTCAAATGTATATCAATAGTCATTCAAGTTGAAATTTCAAGAGAGAGATTGGATCTTAAATTAGACTCTACCTTGAGATGTTGACTTCTTTTGAGGTCTTTATCATTTGATTTAATGCCTCCGGTGGACGAAATTCATATTTTCAATTATTTATATTTTTATTACGAGAGAACACTTTCGATTAAGGCTAATCTATAAGCTCTATGGAAATATTTCTAAGTGGCAACAATTTTGGGCAAGAAAGACAACACTATTGGCTCAAAATGTATCATTAGATGAGCGATAACAATTTTGATCAAGATCTTATAATTTCATTATTTTAGGTTGTAAAAAACTTTAGTCTTCTTATTGATAAAACTTGAATGAATGATTTTTATTAGCAATTATGAGTTGTATTTTCTTAGGGGGCCTCACAGGCCTTCAAAATCAGCTTATTAAAAATGCCAATTTTAAGCCGACCTAAACCAAGTGAGTACGTTGTGCTTTATCATGTACACTTTATAGCTTACTACCTATCAGCTTAGCCATTGGGGAAATGTCTAGGTTTGGTCCTTCATCTGAGCTTTGTCGTAAAGGTGCACATCTCAGGCATGCCCGCATAGTTCGAAGGGAGAAATGTTCAACAATTGACGTGAATATTTCTGAGAAATTTGAAAATCAATAAATGTCACACTCCATGATTACTTCTAGCAGACATAAGGTATAATAGTGATGGGTAGGATTCAGTTGAATGAATCTATCATCATCCACCTTTTACATTCAACCATTTCATGTGAATTAAGTGCCAACTGGATGAGCAGTGCACTAATTCAGCTACAGTAATATTAAAATAAAACTTATATGTATATATTTCATGAGGTGCAATAAAATGGGTAGAAAAACTGGATTATATTTCCTTTTACCTTTTCAAAATTTTGAATATCACAATGCAGAATTCTTGTTACATTCTTTAAGCTTCTGAGGGGCTGGAGTATAAATGCTATGCTGCTATGATCATTTTTTTATGATATATGTACATTTTTAATGCAAAGTGTACTTTTGTGCCTCTTGTAAAACTTTGGCAACATAACTTCTAATAATATACTTGATGTGAAATTACATGTACTAGGTTTAATAGCCAAGTTGGCACATAATCATGTTCAGCTCTAAATCTGTGGTACAAAAAGATATTATTCTCCATATGCAGCTATTTTCCCATTTTTATTTATAGATTACATCAATGCAGGGGGCTGAATAACATTCTGAGACTTCACATAAAAAAGATCAATAGCTCTGACTGGGAATATATTTGTGTTCCATCAAGGCAAGCCCCTAAACTCTTCACCTGATTTAAAAAAAAAGGATACGCTATTCTTCTTCAACTTCATCACTGCTTTCATTTTGGACATGTTTTACTTCTCTTCTTCGTTATTTCTTTTTTAGTGAATCTAATAGTATTCTTTTCCATGCAGCGTTAGAGCAATAGTAGCTCTAAACCTCCACACATACGGAAGTGGAAGGAATCCATGGGGTACTCCAAAACCTGAGTACCTTGCGAAGGTTTGCTTCCTCTTTTTTTTTGTAGGTGCTGTGGGGTTGGATGTGTGGTATTCATCAATGCTCCGAATTTTTAATATTTTTCAAATCATTCGAGCTAAGTTGGAATTGAACACAAACATGCTATTTATGAGCTATCTCGAACACAGAAATTATTGCATCAGGACACGTGACTTAAATTTGCGTCAGGTGTCCAATTAAAATTGGCCACAGCAAAATGTGGACCCCACTGAAATATACTGGTTGGTTGTTTTTTAAAAGTGTAGGACCCATCCTAACACATTACCCATTTTAGTTGTACACCGAACACAAATTTGTGTCAAGTGTCCCGATACAATATTTTTTCCTCGAACACAAGCTTCTACAACAACAACAACAATAACAACAACAACAAAGCTTAATCCCACTACCGTTGGGTCGGCTACATGAATCATTTTTCTCCATTGCGTCCTATTTAGTGCCATATTTTCATTTAGTTCTAGTAAATTAAGATCATTTTTAATACAATAAGCCCAAGTCTTCCTAGGTCTACCTCTGCCTTTCTTAACACAAGCCGAATCTAAAACATCTACTCTCCTAATCGGATCATTAGATGGTCGAAGTTTAATGTGACCAAACCATCTAAGACGACTTTCTCTAATTTTGTCCGTCATAGGAGCTACACCAACCCTATCACGG